CCCAGCACACTACCCAGCACAGTATCCAGCACACTACCCAGCACACTACCCAGCACACTATGAGCACCTTCTGAGCTGGATAGGTTCTCGGAGGAGCCCAAGGCCATGTGCCTCTGAATGACTAGAAGCCCAGAGAAAAGACTCCTCCAGTCCTGCCTTTGGTTCCTCCTCTGATGAGGGAGCAGCCGTGTGTGGTGATAGAGCTGTGATTGCCTGGTGCCCAGGGAGTGGGCAGCCCCGTCCAGGACTTACCCCCTCCCTTCTCTCCAGATTCAGGATTGTGGGCTTTGACCAGGTCCAATGCACTGGACTAGTGCATCATGGGAAGCAACTCCATCGGGAACCGGCAGTTTAGTGAGCACCCGGCTACCAAGTCCATGGCCTGGCACCCAGGGCCTGTCGAGCAGGCTCCCAGAGTCTCTGTCCAGCAGGCTCCCAGAGCTAAGGGTTTTCTCGTGGACCGTGAGTCTCCTAAAGGGGAAGCTGTCCACCTTCACAGCTGGGTCCTGTGACCTGTGACACTGGCGGGTGAGCAGGGACAATCCAGTGTACCAACAGGAAGCACCCACTGGTGACCTAACTGCACAAAGGATGCTTCTTCCCAGGTGCGTGTTTGCTAGGACTGGAATCTGTTCCTCTGATGGAGACCATTCAGAGCCGACTCCAGGAACTGGGTTTATCTCTGGACCTCCTGCTGTAGTTATTTGAGCCGAATCATTTATTGCTTTACCAGTAACGCATCCTAAATTGACATTTATAGCATATTTTGTATGTCAGAAGTCATGTATGTCTTAAGATTCCAAGGTACCTTTGCATTGGTTACGTCATTTTCAGTGACTCCAATCAGAACTTGCAATTTACCCATGGCCTTGTTGAGTTATACCTGTAGTTCACTTTGCCCAGGCAACTTCTTCAATAACTGCTTAGTTCTTGCTCAAATATACCCACATTTCTTCTTAGGATATGTACATATTTAATTTGAAATGATTACAAGATTTCGTGTGTGTGGAGCTGGGGATGGAACTCGGGGCTTCAAACTTGCTAAGCCTCAGCTCTGCTACTGAGCTCCCACCTCAGCCCTCTAAATAATTTTAGATTTATTTTCTTTTGTTAGCAAGAGAGAGAGAGAGAGAGATGACTTCTTTGCTTGGTTGGGTGGCGGCTACTCTCAAAGACAGGTGCTGCTAGCACCTAGGGGGTAGAGGCCAGGGAGGCTGCTGGACCCCCTCACAGCACTGGGCAGGACCTCCCAACATGAACCCTTACCTGACAGCTGAAATAGAAGTCCTGGGGAAAGAGACTTGGGATTCGCGGCCACAGAAACAAGCATCTCATCATCAGGGCAGCCTTTCAAAGAACTAACTATTCTGTCAACTCTACAGCTACTCAAAGAGTAGAACTTCTAAGGTAAAAGAAGAAGAAAATAAAGTAGCGTCTTTACCTGGGCATGGTGTAGACTCTGTGCAGCATTTGTGTGTGTGTGTGTGTGTGTGAGTGAGTGTATGTGTGTGTGTGCATGTGCACAGGGATGGGGTAGAGTGGGTGCTGGGGGCTAGACCTACATCCATGACTGGAGGGAGCTGTAGCATTTACAGGAGAGACCAGAGAGAAAAAATGAAGCCAAGGTTCCGAACAGTCCTACCCCAAATGCCCAATGTATCTCAGTTGATGCAATCAGACTCCAAAGCCCTTCTCCTACGCCATTCACGTACTTTCCATCCCAGACGTGAATGATGCAAACTTTCGAGCTACAAGTTGGGATTTTTTAGAAACTCTAGAAACCCCACATTTTTTGTCTAAGAGAACTGGCCATCCCTTTAGCCCCACCCAAAGTGTGTTGCTGTGTCTACTTTGTTTCTCTTCTGTCTCTGGCAAGCTCCATGGAACAGGAACCACCTGGGTTGCAGCTGTATCCCCTGCGTCTCAACAGGGAAGACCATGAAGCCCAAGTTTCAGTCCCCGGTAGAGAGACTCTGAATAGAAAGCACAGCCCAGGCAGAGTGTCCAAAGGACCTGGTGTCTGTCCT